TTTGCATGTATTTCTTGGTTTGACGTAAATTGGCTTATCATATAAAATTCACAATGCATTTCAAAATCTTTGTTTTCTCTTTTTGATACAGAAAAAGCCACCAGTACGGGCCAGACTACAATAAAAACATTTCAATCGCCAAGCGATAGTGATGATAACCAGGCTGTTCCGCTACCGAATGTGGCACCGGACGAGAGCTGGTTTGTCACACCGCCATCTTGTTTTACAGCAGGTGGCCATTCCCCTGTTCATATGGAACCGAATCCGCTGGAGGACCTTCTTATAGAACACCCAAGTATGTCAGTATACGGACCAAGAACACGGCGTCAGAGCTCGCGTACTCATAGTAACTCTTCCGCAGTGAGCTCGCAATCGGAACCGAGCACATCCCATACCGTTGCGCAGCGACCTCCCCGACGTGCCGCAGCTGTTTCAGCACAGTTGGGTATCAAGCAGCAGCAAGCCATGGCTGCCAAGTCTCAAAAGCAGGAGCAGGTACAGACTTATAAGAATCTGAGTCGAAACAAAATGCACCGAGCCAACAAGGTGTATCAGCAGCAGAGTTTCAGCAGACGTCAACGCAAGAAGGATCTTGTGAGCAAACACTGTATGAAGGTTTGCAAAAATAGGTGCTAATTGTCAACGGAACATGGAACATCATGGCAGCAAAGTGATACCAGCACTGTTCAAGAGATTTTATTTGCCTGAAATACCACAAAACTGATGTTGATCACAGATTGTCTTGTATTGCTTTGACGAAGCAATAAAGACTTTTAAATAATGTACAACTTAAACGTGTGAGAGTGTGAGAGTAATTTTTTTTCCCCCAAAAAATGCAGCATGAATGAAATCATTTTTATTATCTACAGTACTTCATATCCCCTTTCAAGAGTATGTTACAAAAAAACATCCATGCTGAAGAACAATTGGTGGTACACTGCCACCTAGAAATCAAGAGTACATCTTTTCACTTGATAAGAAGCCAAACTAAAAGTTCGGGTAAAAGCAATTAAAGAAAAAAAAGAACACTATATATTCATTGATAAAACTTCGCTTGCTGATTATCCATGACTGTTTCCATGACAACTGACTGTATATTTGGATTGCGACTATTGATTACGGCTATGAAAGGTGAAGACGCCTGTGGACTCAATGAAACCTGGCAGTTTAAATCTGCATAATGTTATTAATAATTTTCAATTATATATAAAATGTAATTATTTAACAAAATTTTTAATTTTCGCTTGTAGAAATTCGACCAAATTAGGTTTTAAATATCTGCGTTTTACCATTTGGAGAGAATTCCTTGATGTGTTAATATTTAACAAAATCTGTGTGTTTTAAGAAAAGTGAGGACTGTTTTTGGATAATCAATTTCAATTTTATGTTTGTACATTAGAAGATAGCTACCTCTTTCCAATAAGTGCTCATTCAACTCTGCCAATGTCAAGGTCTTGCCCACCCTGCAATTAAATTTTACATGTTTGCATTTTGAAATATTCCTAGATAATAAGCTCACATAGCTAACAGTTTTTGTTTTACTAGATGCATATAATGTTGTTAGGTTTCATGTACAGATCTTGTGAAATGTGGCCAATCAACAGATTTAAAAAAAAAAAAAAAAAAAATTACTATTTTACACATGAAAAAAAAATTAAAATAAGAAAAATTCTACAAAAGTTTCTTTTAAAACTTTAAAGATGCCTCTTCAAGAGTTTCTGAAAATTATCTGAAATAACAGTGTTTGTGATTTTGAGTGCAGTATTGAGCAATTAAAATGTTTATACATGCGCATGTCAGAAATATTTGACTTGCTTTATGACGACATTGTCACAAATGGACACTTACCTACTAGTAACTGGATATCAGTTGTCCCATTTGATGTGTAGCAGAAATGCACATATAAAAACAGCACTTAAGAATTTAAATACATGGCGACAACTTTTCATTTCTTGTCGGACTTAATTTGTCAGAGTATGCTTAGAATCTGAAATAATATTGTGAAAGATACAACCAAACCTTCCCTCCCTCCTCCCCTACATTCAGCAGTATTATGATGAAGTCAGGTTTTATTGTATGGCATTCGGGTCAGTCTACTAGAACAATGGGGGTATTCGGGAAGAATAGACGAAATATGGGCAAGACTTTGACAGAAATATACTTTTGAAGTATAAGGGATAAAATCTCGCAGGTGAACTTTAAAGCTTCAGATCTCAGGATATGTTATTATTCGTAGGTTATGATTTATATTTTCGCTGGGTCTTCCCTGGGTGGGGGTCGGGTTCAATGTAGACTAGATTTCTGTATCGCGCACTGGCTGTACCGTATATTGCATTTCGAGTACATGCATTGGTCAAGTGATCCTGGAGCTGGGGGGTCAGCCTCAGATTCATTGATGCGCATATAAATCCTACATACTGTATTTTCTCTATTTAATGCGCAAACGTA